GTCCATGTAGAGTATGTGGCTGCTGGGAGCTCCACTCTTCAACCTGTAGCCTTATCCACTCCTCATGATGATCTGGCTGAGGGGGTTCTGCATAGGCCTCAAAACCCTGAGCTAGATAAATCTACACATACATACATACAACTGATAGTGGAGGGCATAATATATAATGTATATGTGAGAGGATTATAGACTATTTAAAGGAAAAAGTATGTTACATTTGAGAATTATTTACAGCATTTATTTACAACACTGCTTTCTTATATATTACATTATTGTTTGGTACAAGATTTATTAAGGTTTCCTGCCCAAAGTTTTCATTTGTTTCCACTACATAATGTGCTATCTATGCATACTGGAACAAAAAATACATTTAAACATACCTTTCCAAAATACTTGGAGTATGGGTGTTTTTTTTGGAGGGCAAACTGCTTGGCCGTGAAGGGGTTAATAGAAATTAGTAGAATTCCAGTCATTTTATTTCTCTACATCTCATTATTCCAGTATTTAAATCCCTTCCTGCATTTCCTGAAGTTACTTTCATAGTCTAATTACTCTGTGTGTAAACACTAGGAATTAAATCGAAGCCCAAGGAACTGAGAAGGAAATCTAACAAGGTTAGGTACACTGGATTAGCGTCATCCTGTCATTTGAGTTTTGCAAAGTAAATGCAGCAGCTAACATTTTAATGAGCATGCAGTCACTGTATAAAGAAAAAAGCGTTATTGTGCTACATGCTACTGAAACTGGTTTCCGTGGTGATTACCCCACTATTAGTACTTTAGACCACTTTTTATAACAGAACACCTTGATAAATACCCCTGCCAATCTTTCTGTCGGTGGTTCCTAGTGGTTGGTTGATATGTAGATTTTTATTACTTGCCAGCTCCATGGAATTAAAGCATACACTCAAACAAACTTGGATCCATGGTAAAAGTAAGTCACTATTTGAAGGTTAAATCACTTTCCCCTTTTACAACATACAATGTGCCTTTTAGGGCTTAAATAGGCTGGTGGGGAGAGCTAAGTACCAGGAGCCTTGGTCATGGGCATCTCTAGTCCAGTCAGCCTTAATAGTAGACCTGCAGTAATAGTTTTAAATAGTGTAATACTAAGTGTTCAGTTTTGCAGGAAAGACAATGTTATCTTTTCAGGGTTAACCTGCCTCTACTGGGAGCCATTAGTATGGGAGCCATATACACAATACTTCCCCTATGGCAAGGCACTGAATTGTCAGAGTTCATCCATCATCGGACTAGACGCAGACAGAGCGGCACGGTATGAGAAACAAGGTAAGTTAACTTTTAACCCTTGCGTGTTGGGGGTTGCCCGGTCTCCTAAATGGTGACTTGACACTATAGCATTAGTAATACATGTTAGAAATTCATTTTGTTCCTGTAATCCTATGCCTAACTTCTCTTGAAAGCCAAACACCTCCTGTACCCCAATACAGAATTGAACCCAACTCTAACCCTAAACTCAATTATCACAAAAGATCCCCTTGTACCCAAGTACTAAATTTAACCCTAACCCCAATAATCCTAACCAGCCCTTATACTACAATTTTAATCCCTCTCAAGCTTTAATCTTCTTAAAAGAAACTATAGTTTTAGGAATACAAACGTGTATTCCTAACACTATAGTGCCCTGTTAGCTGTTTAGGTACCGGCCTTCCCTATTCCCCCACCAAATCCAAAAAGCAGTAGAAAGTAGATTTCCTTAGACATCTGGTAGGAGAGCATTGTGGTCAGGGTTAAATTTACATGCCTGGAACCTGTAGGCACTAAATTCTAAGGCACCTCTATTTAAAACAAATATAATAAAACCAAGAAAATAAAACACTAACACGTTTCACCCAAAGTGTTCTAATGTAATTGGTTTTGTTATCTTTGTTTTAAATAAAACTAGTTTTTTACCTTACCTGGACCTTCCTGATTTTATCGTTGAAGATTTTATCTGGAGAAGTCACACTTTTTACCTCTTTGGTCGCAGACACCCTCCATGGCTGAGATCATCAAGACTGATGGTCCCAACCAATCCAACACAGCGCTGCACCGTAGCTGCTACTAAGCTATTTTGGAGGCAGTGCCTCTAGTGGCTGTCAGAGTGACTCATGTAATGGTATTGCCCAAATTAAATATAACATTTTTGGGAAGATGTTAATTTTTAATGCAGCAATTCCTAGCTATGGTAACTCAAAATTGCTCCATCTATTAAATGTGTCTCTTAATTCTGGCCATTGGTTTTCAAAATGTAAGAAATACATATCTGATAAATTTTTTTGTAGTATTACATCAGCCAAGGTCATAAATGTTATATTAATTGGTAAGGCCTAGGTTTTCTGCAAATTTAGCTTACACTATGATGTTTTTCCAAACTTTTCCAAGATCTTATTTAAGTAATGCAGAGCATTAGTAGGATCACTAAATGCAAGAGTAATGAAATGTTTCCCTATAGTTATGCCTTTAATTTCTTCTTTATTTATAATCGCTATTGTTACTCTTTCTCAGACACCAACGAGAGAAGCATGGAAGGCGTTTGAGTAGAACAAATATGATAAATTACATTTACAAACCTTCTTGTACTACCTGTAGCCAGTCTCTGCATCAAAAATCCCACCTGGTCATTGTCTTCAAACTTGGAATTAATTCTGCTAATCTTTTAGCCAGTATTTTGGAATATATCTTTGTTTAGAGATATAGGTCTAAAGTTAGTACGGACATCTGGTGTTTTACCTGGCTTAGGTAGTGTTACTATTTGAACTTCTAATTTATATACATTTTACAATTTAACTAATTGGGGAACTAAAATTTCAGAATATGTTTTCTGATATAAGATGGTACAGCCATTTAGGCTTGGTGCTTTGCCACTAGTAGTCTCTTTTTCACATGGCAAGATTTTGTTATCTAACAGATCGATTTGATCATTATTTACATTAATTTTTTTTGTAAATTCTTTATTTTGGTGGTTTTCGGTTGTTTAAGGAAGTTGGGGTACAGAATAAAGATAATGGGTGGGGTAGCAAACGTAGTGGTTACATTGGAGTTTAGTAGTTTAGTACATTGTAGGTTACATAACTTATTTACAGCAGTTGTACTTTTGTTTATATTAGGACCAGCGTGGTCTACATCTTGGGTTTTTACCCTCTTCTTGCATGGGGGGGCTTCCGTTTGTATTTAAATTTTTAATAGAGTTTATATAATTTAAGGAATGATGATAAAACGATTCAACCTACAGAGGAAAAAAAATTAAATAATTTCTTAATAGACTGATGATAACAGGTAAATACGTTACTAATTTAAGTTGGGTACGTAATCTTAGTTCTGTTATCTTTTAAATATTCAATCCTGGATTGCGAACTTGGTTGATTTAATATAGACGCCAATAATGATGATGGCTTATTTCCTTATGAATAAAAAAAAGTTGTTTAAGTCTTTTTAACATCAGTGCAGTGTGTTCCAATCAAATTATGTTTTGTTTTTCTTTTTTTCTTTTACATCTCCAATCATTTCCGTCACTGATGCGGAGGAAGGCCCAAGATTATTTTTTTTTCAAAAAGGCTGCCCTCTGTATAAAACGTTCTCTCAGTGTTACTTTGTGTGTAATGCACAGTATTTCCTTTGTCAATTCTGAGAGGAGTTTTCTTTAAAGTAATTATGTAACACTGCTTCCATCAACTGTTTATTTACTGGTCCCATTATCAAATAGTCACCTAATTTACATGGCCTATATGTATTATCAGTAGATGATTATATTAAATGCAAAGTGAAGGGGTATATTTTACAATCCCAATCAAATGGGGGGAAAAAAAGCAGACCTCATGACCTGGCCAGAATTTGTAATAAGGGCAAGAAACTAAATAGTAAACCAGAGCTTATTGGTTTACTACTGTAGCCCGTGAAGTTACACAGGCTGCATTATCTGAAATGCCCAGTAGATGGCACATGGACTCAGTATGCTGTTAATAAAACATTGAGCTTTGATCACATGACTTGCTGAAATCAGGAGATGGAGTGTGGCATCATCGCAGGGCCTGTCAGGACTTCCTGCACAGCTCTGAGGGAGGAGGATTCTAAGAGTGACCACATGCTGAGCCAGAGAAAGGACATGTGAGAGACTGTAGCACAGAGATAGGGCCTGGCTGAGAGAACTTGTTTCACCCAAGATCACACCAGCTGAGAGAGGGACCTGCAGGAAAGAAAGAAGACAAGCACTGAGTCCAGACGTCTGGCGAATCCAGTGAGAGGAGACTGCTGCTGACTGACTGGTTAATCGTGTTGTGAGGGTAAGCCAAGCCTCTCCCTGTATCGCCACAGGGCACCTGTCTCCTCACTCACAGTAAAGACTCTGAGGTCCCGTGACGGACATTACACATTTGAGGCTGCTTCAGTGACCCTGTGAAGCAGGACTTATAAGGGCCCCAACTCTCCTATGTGCACCAACGGCCGCTAGGGCGAAGATAAGGGGGTGGGGCGCAGGTGTGCTGGTGGGTGAGTGAGGAAAATCCACATTTTGCATTGTTATCTGTGTTAATCTATTGTATTTTCCTATGTATGTTGGTTCAATTGCTACTTACCATATAAAGTTAGTCCCAGTTAGACTGTGTCAGTCTCATTGCACCAAGTATGTTCCCAGTGGGACCCCACATCCCTACCCCGGATGCTCCACTGGGTGGAGGCACTGCCGCAGACATGTACCCCAGCTCCCAGATAGCGGAGGCTCAGGATCCGCCTGTCAGGCATAGTGAGTTAACTAGGTTTGGGGACCCCAAAGACACTAGGGGGCACCCCCAAAACCCCGTTACAGATGGAGGCACTGCTGAGATGTATTGGGGTACAACCAGTGAGAATAGGTTAAGTCCTCAGGCCACTCCCTCCTTTGTGAAACAGTGGGCCCAGCAAAGAAATGTACCATTACAGCAAGCTGTGATGTTATGCAAAGTCCCATCCTGCTGTGAGATGAATCACGTCATCTTGTGTATAGAAATTCGACTGGGAATAGAAATGGCGACCATCAGAGATATCCTGCAGGATTCTGAAGGCCAAACTTACATGTTAATATATTGTCATACGGGCTTGGGAGACCATGAGATGCCTACCAACATTCATTTACATGGAGCCCCGGATGGAGGATGCTCCTTAGTGTACGCTCTCCTTGATAAGAAAGAAAGGGTCTCACTGCAACAACCCTTTAAATTAGAACGGAAAGATTATGTCACAGAAAATTATTCTAAGCTCCTGACCCCCATCTCCGGAAAGGCCGGAGCCATTCCTAAACAAGCTGCCCATCCTCCTAGAGGACAGGGGATGATTACTCCTAAAGCAGAATCTCATCCATCTACAGCATTACTGAAACCAGACAACCCTGAAGTACACACCCTGCCTACAGGAGGTAGTGATGTATCGGACATACTACAGAAACTCTCAGAAGCCATAGTGACGGCAAACCACACCCATAGTTACCGCAAACTAAAGGTGTTTTCTGGGAATCAGCCTGTTCCTGCAGGAGAAGAGCCTTTTGAGGTCTGGAAGGATAATGCTATGCAGTTGTTGGAGGAATGGTCTTGTACGGATACCATAAAGAAACAGCGGTTGGTGGAGAGTCTTCGTTTTCCCGCTACAGACATGATAAGACTGTACAAGGGAGTAAATGGGCAAGCTACTGGCACGACTATCTACAAGTTTTACAGGATGCTTATGGGAAATCAGAAGATTTGGATGATCTGTTGGTTAAGTTCCTAGCCACTAAGCAGAAGGAGCACGAAAAAGCCACTGACTATATCAACCGGTTACAGCTATCGCTTGGAAAGTTATTCCATAAAGGAGCAGTCACTGCCTCTGAGTTGGATGCTCGGCTATCTAAGCAAATTCAGAGAGGTGGTTTGACCAGTAATCCAGTTATGATTCTGCTGAGAGCCAAGTTGGATGATAAAGTTCTGCCTTATTCCACATTAATAAATACAGCCAGGAGATTGGAAGACCAGATGTGTCCACCCCTACAGAAGGAGAAAGAGAATACAGAACTGTCAGCTCTTAGGAAGAAGGTGGCTGAATTGGAGCTTTTATGCAAATCACCACCAGAGAGAGCAGATCTTCCCCCTGGAAGTGGGGGGCAACACAGGAAGACTCAGAAAAAGCTGTTTCCTGAGGATTCACCCCGCCGAGGGAACTGCTTTAAATGTGGAAAGGCAGGGCATTTTCAGAGGGAGTGCCCTGCGGATTCCATGGAGGTGGATGTGGGGGTGCTGGCAACCGAGCTCGGGGAGACTCAAATGACCAGGTCTTACAAGCGAAGGAAGACCCGGCCTACATATAGTCTATCTGTAGGGGCCAAGATTGGGCCTAAATCTTTGATACACGTGCAAGTGGAAGGAATTCATGCTTCAGCATTGCTAGATACAGGTTCTCAAGTCACCATTATCTACAGAGACTTCTATGAACGTCATTTGAAACACATTCCTATGGAACCTGCAGGAGAGTTTCAGCTATGGGGCGTTGGGTCTCAAGCTCAACCTGTGGAGGGATGCATAAAAGTGACCATAACTATTCCCCAGTTAAATACCGGGATGATATGTCCTATGGAGCTGGAAGCTTTGATATGCCCTGCAGCCAAGAAAGTGTGTGCCCCAATAATATTGGGTACTAATGCAAAGATGGTACAGGATGTATTCAGGGCCTATCTGACAGAAGTGGGAGATGTCTCCTTAGACCGACTGATGGAGGTCAGCCCTGTCCTAGGAAAAGAGTGTCGACGACTAGCCCTTGCAACAAAACCAGGGTTGTGCCACTATTCAGGAACAGAACCTGCATTTGTGAAGCCTGGTGAGACCAAAACCTTACGAGCCATAGCCTCAATGCACCATGAAATGTTGGGGGGAACTGGACAATACCTTATTGAGTCTCTGCCTGAAGAGGATCAGAAGAAGGGGTGGACTCTCATACCTGAGATAAAAGATTGGCGAAAAAGGTGGTGTCGGAGTTTTCCTGTGATGGTACAGAATTTAACCCCCACGGAAATCCGGATTGATCGTCATCAGAAGATTGGTGTAATACACCTTTTAGATCAAGTTTCGTCCATCATGTCTGTGAGTGCAGAACAGACGGATCATGTGAAAGCACCTTTAGATTTTGATCTAGAAGATTCTCCCCTACCACAGCAGTGGAAAGACAGCCTTCGTTCAAAACTGGCCACCCGAGAGGGAGTGTTCTCCAGAGCAGAGATGGACGTGGGGTGTTCTAAGAGTGCCACCCATGCTATAAGACTTGCTGATCCTACTCCTTTCAGAGAAAGGTCAAGAAGAATACCCCCTCGAGATGTGGAAGATGTCCGGGACATACTCCAGCAGATGGAAGGAGCAGGCATCATCACAGAGTCCCGGAGCCCCTATGCCTCACCTATTGTGGTAGTGAGGAAAAAGAATGGTTCAGTTCGGCTATGTGTGGACTACCGTACTCTGAACAAGAGGACTGTGCCAGACCAGTACACCTTGCCCCGGATAGAAGATCTTCTGAACGCCCTATCTGGCAGCCAGTGGTTCAGTGTGCTTGACTTGAGGTCTGGATATTATCAGGTACCCATGAAGAAGGAAGATCAGGAAAAGACAGCTTTCATCTGCCCTTTGGGGTTCTTCCAGTTTACCAGAATGCCACAGGGAGTCACAGGAGCTCCTGCTACTTTTCAGAGGCTGATGGAGAAAACTGTGGGGGATATGAATCCCAAAGAGTGTCTAGTGTATCTAGATGACCTAATTGTTTTCGGGAAGACACCAGAGGAGCATGAACAAAGATTGCTAAAGGTGTTGGATCGACTTCAAGCTGAAGGCCTGAAGCTATCAGTGGACAAATGCCGATTTGCCCAGAACTCTGTCACTTATGTGGGGCACATAGTCTCCGCTGAAGGAGTAGCCACAGATCCTGCTAAAATTGAAGCAGTGCTGAATTGGCCAAGACCAAATAACATCGGTGAGTTGCGGTCCTTTCTCGGATTCTGTGGTTACTACCGAAGGTTCGTGAAAGACTACTCAAAGATTGCTCGAGAGTTACATGACCTGCTGAAGATTATCTCTGACGTAAAGGGTGTTAAGGCACCATATCCTAAAGACCCCTTTGGAGAGAAATGGACTTCAGGATGTGAAGATGCCTTTCTGACGCTGAAGAAGAGACTTACAGAAGCTCCTGTCTTAGCCTATGCAGACCCTGAGAAACCATATATCCTCCATGTGGATGCCAGTATGGAAGGCCTAGGGGGTGTACTGCACCAAAGTTATCCAGCAGGATTGAGGCCGGTGGCTTACATAAGTAGGAGTCTTACAGGTGCAGAGAAGAACTATCCAGTCCATAAATTGGAATTTCTGGCACTCAAGTGGGCCATCGTGGATAAGCTGCATGACTATTTGTATGGGGCAACATTCGAAGTAAGGACTGACAACAATCCACTTACCTACATCCAGACTACAGCTAAGCTGGATGCTACAGGACATAGGTGGTTGGCTGCCTTGTCAAACTACAGTTTCAGCCTGAAGTACAAGCCTGGGCCCAAGAATGTCAGCGCAGATGCCCTGTCCCGCAGACCTAGACTCCCCCCTCACCAAGAAGAAGAGGAGTGGGAAGAGATCCCTGGGCCGGGGGTAGGAGCCTTTTGTCAGATGTATGTGGTGGCCGAGAGTCAAGAAGAATTTGCCGAGCTAAGAGGGATAGACTCCATTAGCCACTCTCCCGAAGCTGTGCCTGAGGTGTTCCATGCTCCAGTCATGCTTCAACAGTGGTCCAGTATAACCACAGAAGACAAGAGGAAGGCTCAAGCGCAGGACTGGTATATTGGGATAGTTATCAGAGCAATAAAGACTAAGAATCCTAAATTGCTGACTTCTCTACCTGTGAATCAAAGAGAATTATACCGAAGAGAATGGAGCCGACTACATCTCGAAGATGGAGTACTCTATAGGGTCGTGAAGTATCATGATCACCCTGACAGAAAACAATTGGTACTACCGCACCGATACCGTGGCATGGTCCTGAGAGCTCTCCACGATCAACATGGGCATCTCGGGGTGGACAAGACCTATGGCCTAGTACAAGATCGGTTCTATTGGCCTCGCATGAGGGAACATGTCGAGCAACATGTAAAGACATGCAGGAGGTGTATCCAGAGGAAGACCCTGCCTGTGAGAGCTGCCCCTATGGGTCATCTGAAAAGTACGGGACCCATGGATCTTGTGTGCATGGACTATCTCTGCATTGAGGACGATACAGCGGGAATTGGAAATGTGCTGGTGGTAACGGACCACTTCACCAGATATGCTCAAGCTTTCCCCACTAAAGACCAAAAGGCTGTGACTGTAGCCAAAGTCCTTTGGCAGAAGTATTTTATTCACTATGGACTACCCAATCGGCTACACTCTGATCAAGGTAGAGACTTTGAGAGTAAGTTGATAAAGGAGCTGTTAGGCATGTTGCAGGTGCAGAAGTCCAGAACCACACCTTATCATCCGGAGGGTGATGCACAGCCAGAACGTTTCAATAGGACCCTCCTAGATATGCTAGGGACTCTCAAGCAAATCGAGAAGCGGTCTTGGAGTAAACATGTGGAAACCATGGTCCACGCATACAACTGTACAAGGCATGAATCTACAGGGTTCTCACCCTATTTCTTAATGTTCGGAAGAGAAGCTCGATTGCCGATAGATGTCCGGTTGGGAGTGTCTCCTGATGGAACAGATTCAACTTCACACTTTCAATATGTGAGGAACCTCAAACAAAACCTTCGTCGGGCCTACGAGTTGGCCACCCAAGCTGCAGCAAAAATGGAAGAACGGAACAAAAGAAGATATGATGCTAAGGTGAGATATCGGGAGATTCAAGCAGGGGATAAAGTTCTTCTCCGGAATCTAGGTGTGCCTGGAAAACACAAACTGGCTGACAGATGGAAAGATACCCTGTTTGAGGTTGTGTCCAAACTGGAAGGACTGCCAGTGTACAACATTCGGGGCCCGGAGGGCCGAATAAAGGCTTGGCATAGAAACCATCTGCTTCCAGTTGTGTATACTGATGAAGAGGAAGAGAGTAGTGAAGAACTGGAGGAAACCCCAGCAGAGAGTCCTGGAAATGGGGCAGAGGAGACCCCGGGAACTCCCAGTGCAGAGGATCAGTGGTGGTCATCACCCGCTGAAGAAACACAACAATTGCCTCCTTTAACTCCTGTGGTTTCACAAAGTCCCGGAACCTCTCCTGGGTCACAAAGTTCTCCAAGGTTGAATCCAGAAAGTCCCTGTTTTGTGCCTGGAACTTCCCTTAAAACTCTACTTCGAGGGCAGGAGTCGAAGTTCCACAGTTGATGTCCCAAGATCCTCTCCCCCAGCGAGAACTGAGACACAGCACCAGAGTGCGGCAACCCCCTAGGGCCCTAGTTTATGATAATATAGGAGAGCCCAGTTATGCCCCGCTGACACAAGCAGCATTTAAAATGGCCACTTTCCTACATGCACTAGCTGAAGTGGTAAATGTTAGTGACTGTTTACCCTAAATAACTAGCTAGCTAGGATGTTACTGTGCGAACTGTACTGTAGGTATGCTAAACCTTTTTCTGTTGAATTTTTGTTAAGCTCCCTGGCTAGGACTTGCCAGTGGAAGGCAAGTATTTTCAAGGGGGAGCATGTAGCCCGTGAAGTTACACAGGCTGCATTATCTGAAATGCCCAGTAGATGGCACATGGACTCAGTATGCTGTTAATAAAACATTGAGCT